GGAAGCTTCTCAACTGAAGCGATGAGCGCAGGAAGGACATTTCTTGGTTGCTGTCTCAGGATCTCCGTCAACGTTTCATCCACTATAATTAAAGCAAATGTATAGAATATGTTAAAACGTTTGCTGAATTTTCTTCATGATTTTACAATGCTGAAAACTAAAAATTCTAGAAAAAACCCCATAGTTCTCTCTCTAAAATATAAATTAGCAGTGGAGACTCTGAAACACCGCAACCTAGAAATGTCCTTTCTCCACTCAACACATCAATTTTATAAGGTAAATTCCCGCTTTTCCTTAAACAACGATATTTCCATTTTATCAGTTACACTTTGTTTTTAACAGATCTGACTACTTTTTACGAACCAAAAATATAACATTTAAGTATTCGCACACGATTCGATGACACAAGCATCACGAGACTCACCCGCAGCTGTGCAGAGGCTGTGAAGTCAGTAAGTGATGATACCACTATTCGAACACTCGTGTCGTAATTGGTATCACGATCAATTGAAGGCGCTTTAAGTGCGCACGGTCGGAAAGAGCTAATTTCCGAACTTCCCATAATGCAAATCGCTGTTCCAATCACCATACGCTTTCCCTATTCTGCTATCCACAGGAAGAACGCCGTAATTCCAATCAAGATTTTGTATTTTTCTTCCACACATACTGTTCTATTATGAGGGAACCAGATCACTATGATCCTTTTTTTTGTAAATCTGAATTCTCAATGGTATGCCACAGTTAATTTAGATTTAAGAAGGATTAATGGTCGTTGGTTTTTCAGTACTGAAAGTTTTTTCAGTAAAATGCTGAAAATATGTATAAATGGAGTTTTGGCTGAGGACGGCAGTATATTGGGCGCTTCTGGGTACCAGATGCGCCCTTTCCAGCCGTTCGACTCCCCCGATGTAACATGTACTATACTACATACCGTTTTGCCTTATGGGTAATGACGCCATTCTGGTACACCCGGGAAAATTTGATTTTTTTCTGCATCTGGTATTCGTAAAAGTTTTCGTGAAATGTTTTGCTTTTAAGCATAACAATCTCGCACGGACGTATTACCTGGTTAAACTATTTTGGGGCTTCGTTATGCTTAAATGCCTCATATTCGAGGTTGTAGTTTCAGATTGATTCGAAAAAATCACGAACAGTCACGTGATCTCTTCATTTTAGTGACGTATTACTGTGCTATTTTGTGATTGGTTCATTTTCTCGGCGCAGCATCGTCAAGCGTCAGCTGTTTGCGGCTCTGGGTTGAAGGTTTAAGGTTATGTCAGAGAGAATAGAAAGTTAGAGGCCCGACTCGATGCTACGTAATTGAAACAGATGCGCTCGCAGCGCGCTCGCTGGCAACGTACGCAACTACTATTTTCTATTGTTTTCCAGAGACTAGCGGCGGGTATGTTGCTGCCGGACCACCTTCACGTAGGCAATTTGTTATACATCGTCCGTCCGCAATACTCTCGCTTGGCCGTATGAAAACGTTCCTCGCATGCGCAGTGTTAAAGAAGCGCCCTCCAACGCTTTGGCGTTGGAACTGCTTGTTAATATTATTTTTGAGATGACTGAGCTTTATTCTCAGTATGTTGAAGTCGATTTTATTTCCAAACGGCAACCTTGACCACGAATAAGGGAGAAAGGAGCAGCCACGCACTGATTTCATGGATTTGTATCCAAAGCGTTCTTTGTTTGTGGATTGCGCTTTTATTTGACAGCGCTATCGATAACAAGCGTCAAGCAGTCTTGCTGAGATGCACCTCGGATACGGCTGTGCCGCGCCGCGGCCGCTTCGCTTCAACGACGAACGAGCATTTAGCCAGGCGCTACCTCACAAAACCGAATCTCGTAACAACTCGGATGTGCGTCTTTGTGTTCTCTACCACTTATTCTCGCGCCGCGTAAAATACTCTCCTCCGCTGCCGTGCTGAGGAAAAAGTCATATAGATTGCATTTTGCAAAAAGGATTAACCAAGAGCATTCCAATGTTTCTCAGATTCAGTGGCGTGGCTTGCTTTGCGATATATCGATTGTTATGCCATTTAAACCTATGGAAAAGGATCGATAAACAGGGTGTTCGCAGCGAACACCTTAATAATCGATTCTTTACCATACGTTTAAATGGCACAACAATCGATATATTACAAAGCACGCCACGCCACTGCTCAGATTGTGGCATTCTTTTTACCTTGCAAATATAAACCGATCATCTAAACAAGTTTATCTTATTCCCAATAAACTATAATTTCAAGATGAAAATTACCCTGTAAATTTGATTTTTTTCAGGATTTCAGTAATTTTATTGCAAGGAATGCGAGTTGCACATCTTAGCGACATTGGAATGCTCTTGGTTCCTTTTTGCAAAACGCAATCCATATGAACCTTCGAGAGTTGTCAAATTTCTTTCGAGAGAATGTTAATTTTTGAAGAATGTTATGAAAATTTTCCCTGGAAATTTTTAGGAACGTAAGGTGAAGTTGCGAACAGAATTATCTGAAAAATTGGGAGGAAAATATTCATAAGTTAACCAAAGTTTTATCAAAGGAAATTTGGCAACGCTTGAAGGTTCATACGGCGTTCTTCCTTTAGCAGGGCAGTTCCGGTGTTCTACTCTGCCGTGCTAAGGGAAAACGCCGTATAAACTCTCGAGAGTTGTCAAATTTCCTCCGATAAAACGTTTATTTTGAACAGAAGTTATGCTTATTTGTCTTTAACACTGTCAAAAATTTTAGATCGAAGTACAAACGATATTGCCTGAAAAGTTGGAAGAAAAATATTCACAACTTTTCCTGTAAATTAGTATTTTATCAAAGAAAATTTGGCAACATCCGAAGGCTCATACGGCGTTTTTCCTTAGCACGGCAGTATTCTCGTATAGTTCCAGATTTTGTCACCAAATCGTAACTTTAATAGTGCAATGACACTTGGAAGATGATTTAAAAATATTTCTGGGAATTTTCAACATGTTTCAGGGGTTGTTTTTTTATTGAAAATGAGGGAAAACTAAGGTGACTGGGCCGAGAACTGCTGCATTAATTTTTTTTAAAAATATTTTTGGTTTTGGTAGGTGATAACTACCAGATGAGCCCCCAGTCTCCAAATTTCCGCACCCTGATGACCTCTATTTTATTTTGACACCTAAATGGCACCACGAATATAAGCTCCGTTTATTTCTGTAATGGGTTGGGGTTGGGTGCATCTTCATCAGAATGATTTTCATTATTGCATTTTGTGGCTTGTAAGAAGATTTAAGAAAAAAAAATCCAATGATATGACTTCAGTTAATGAAGTGTTGGTATTATACAATATGTGTAATTAAAATCACAACCGCTTCAATTTGAGTTCAGATTTTCCCTATTTTTGGACCCAAGAAAATCTGATCATCAATTACTACACATTTTTGCATAAATTGTTATCGTTTCAACACATACGTATTATAACCTTGTGTATATTCTTAAAAAGAATCAACAGACTTTTGTGTTATATTTCGCTGCCACGTATGTTTATCCATAATTTAACGATATGTGTCATGACATGGCAAAAGATTGCGAATCATAGACCGTTCGCAATTTTACATTGGAGTATTACTTTCAGCGTTATTTCAAGCATAATTAAGTCATGGACAGTCATATCCAGCTTGTTTTGGAGCGTTGTAAGTTTAAGAATTTTAAGTATTATATGTCCTTTGGGATTTCTCAATGTAGCGTCGTGGTAGCGAAATGTTATATTAAAGTATGTAGACCCATCTTTGACAGTTTTCTTGACGGGGAAGCTCGTGAACTCACCTGATGGCCACTCGGTGGGCTTGCCGTGAAATCAGTCACGAACATAAACAATTATTTGTTATTCTCTGTTTTTTGAACGTCGTCCTTCTGAAACACTACGTACCTCGCACAATGAACCACTACCTAGACAAATTAGAAACCAAACCGCATACCACATGCATTCTTGCCAATTCACGCAAAATAGGGTTAAAGATGCATTGAAATATCAGAGCAAATTCAAATCGTACTGCGGAATCAGCGTTTCTTATATTCGTAAACCTAACTTGCATCTTAATAAAAAAAAAAAATCAACATTTTTATAATGAAATCGGCCCTTAAATTGATTTTGATGCACTTTATAATTAAATTATTAATTCTTTGTGCTAGATAAGCGCAGCTCAATGAAAGTTAAGTCACAAAAATGACGTCATTTTTGTTTTTGCCATTTAAAAGTAAACACTAAAATCTTGTTTAAGTTTTTATTTCCAGACTATCTGTCGAGTAATTCGTTTTCTTCGTATAATTTTGACGGGAAAATATATTGCGAGGTGTTTTAATTCATACCAGTCTGAAGGCTCATGACAATGAGAAGTATTTCATTGCCTTCCAACAAAAGTTTACAAAAGACCAATTCTTATCCTAAGCTAGTGGTTCATTCTGCGATTGATCCATTTCACAAAGTGTGCGATGAGTCGTTTGCCGTGCTAAGGAAGAACGCCGTATGAACCCTCAGGCGTTGCCAAATTTCCTTTGATAAAACACAACTTACCTGGTAAAATTATGAATATTTTTCCTACAATTTTTCGGATAATTTTGTTCTCAATTTCGACCATAGTTTCTGAAAATTTCAGGGTAAAATATTTATAAATTTTCCCAGAAGAAAACATTTTAGTGAAGGAAATCTGTTAACTCTCGAATATTCATACGGCGTTTTTCCTTAGCACGGCAGTCTTCAGGTGAGACAGTCCCATTTAGGTAAATTTGTAGACATGCTTTCTCCTCTAACGTAAAGGCGTAACTCTACGCCCACGTAAGCCCCAAAAAGCATGGCGTTATACAGAGAGCAGGGCTTACGTAGAGATCGAGATACACCCTTACGTCAGAGGAGCCAGGATATCACGCATTCACTGAGGAACCACCCGGTGAGTTCGCGAAGCGACCCACTGTGCCGTCACGGGTTGGCGGTGTGCGGTGTGGCCTTGTGCGGGACTAAAACAAGGCGTTCTTTGTTCGCAGGTCGGACGGGGGCAGGAGATAACGCGGGGATTAATTAGGGGGATGCGTTGATATCGGGGGCACAATGCGGGGACAAAAGGAGGTCAGAGGGGGCCCGCTACCCCGACGCCAGGGATGACGCGGCGATGAGGCTCTCGGCGGATGCGGAGGCCGCCGCCGGCTAGGTGACACCCCGAGAGCGATCGCCGGCCCCGGCTCCAGCGAGAGAGACGAGGAACGCGGAGAGACAAGGAACGCGGGACGCGGAACGAGGAGGACAGCCCAAGACGTGCTGATTAATCATGTGATATGCCAAGCACCCCGCTATGTCGCGTGGCAAGTTCCCGGTCGGTGGACCCGCTCGATACCTGGTCTCCTGCCTGTGGCTCCTCTCCTCCTGCCAGCACACCTCCACGCTTCCTCCTGTCATCAGAATCGGTGAGTCACTAAAAAAAATATCTTCATTCAAAATTTTACCTAAGAATAAACACTAAAATATGGGTAAATAAGGTAAAATTAGAAGGAAAAAACAAACAAACAAACAAATTATGCGGAAAAAATGAAATTGCTGCTTAAACAATGTTTTAGGAAAAAAGTGTCCGGCATGTTTCAATGTAAATTTTACAATAAACAATTGCTAATTAAACCACCCCTGTGGTTAAATTGGATTGCATTTTGCAAAAAGGAACCAGGAGCACTACAATATTGCTAAGATTGTGCAGCTCCTTTCGTCTTGGAAGGCACACCTGATTATCTCTGAACAGTTTCTTTTTTACTCGCTAAAAACTGTAAAATTAGGACAAAAATTACAATGTAAATTTCATATTTTTTCGGTTTATAAATTGTCATACCACAATGGTTGAAGTTGCACAATGTTAGCAACATGGCAATGCTCCTGGTTCCTTTTTGCAAAATGCAATCCAATTAGCTTTCCACTATTGTAAAATATACAGTTGAAACATGATGGACATCCTTTTTTACAATTTAATACTTAAATCAGCAATCCATTTTTTCCGGTGTAACACATAGACGGTGAAACTCCCTACCCACGTATTACGTTCGCAATGTTTGAAAATCTTCGCTCCTGTTTCAATCTCTCAAAGGAGGACATTTTAACATCATTCCTTGAAGTTTTCTCCGAATCTACTTCGCACAGAGAAAAAAAATCACGGAGAATTTTAAGAATTAATGTTGAGTAATTCTCTATCTAAAAAATAAAGTATGGCAGGAAGTCAGCAACGTTGCAAACCGAGATACTTGGTTTGGGCATTTCACCATCAATATCGATGGCAAAAGTGCAAAACTACGTTACTATATCGCGATGTTTCAAAATTTCCGCTCCTTTTTTATTTTTTCACCGAAAAACAAGCCAACTTTGTGGCCTGATACTGTACAGAATATTCTACTGTATTCAGGAGAAAAATCAAGGAAGTTTTCCAGAAATTACGATGACTAGTTTTTTCAAGAAAATAAAAAGTATGACAGGGAGTCTGCAACGGTGCAAACTGAGATACGCTATGTCACACTTTGGCTATCCATATTATAAATGCAGGATGTTTCGAACCGTCGCTTACTGGATCGAGTCAATAGGGGCGGTCGGACAAAATTCGGAAACTTTAAAAGCTCATATCTCCTTTCGTACAAAACCGTCAGGTGTCAAAAGTAGTTTCATTGGTTTTCTCGTGAAATTTTCTTCTAGATGTAACCCTTGACATCTAATATGTGGCGAAATAAACATCAAAATTTGCAGTTTTCGTAAAAAAGTTAATGTCCAACCTCTCTAATTGACTCGATCCACTGTGCGTCGCCGGATTATTTTCAGGAGCAAGAACGACACGAATCAATAAAAATCACGATCGGATTCCAGTTATCATCACTAAGATGGGTAAATAATGCTGAGATTTTAAAAATACACCGTCGTGGCACCACGCGACATTTTGGGCTGCCTCGCGCTGGTTCACCTGCAAAAAGAACTAACTTAATGAAAAAGACAAGATATAAGATATATATTTACTTCAAAACGTAAGGCTTAAAAACACAACATTATTCTGCCGAATCAGACGTAAAAATAAATTTAAAAAAAATTAACGGACCCGATGTCACTTATTTTTTATAAAATTTGAGTAATTAAGGCTGGAATTTTAAAAACGCATTAAACATTGGTTTACAAGTTTCACTATTTTGAGCCACAAAGGGGATTTACACATAATTTTGAACTATTCCCAAAATTATGTCTTTCGAATCGCACACTTCGAATTACCATGCATTTGGCTTTATTTACCTCTAATGTACGTATTTCTCTAAGCATGACACTCTTCTAGATACAAATTATTGAATGATCACATTTTCTATATTTATATATGTGGCTTTAGTATTTTAAATTATATAAAATCTTTATCTTTCGTAGTGAAGAATTTTTAAATTCCCTACCATGCGGAGACGCCGTTTCGTAGATAACGTACATTTTACATTAATAATGTTCGCTTTTCGACTGAATGACTTTAAAATTTTGTTTATCGACTGCGAGAGATAGCTCCATGAGACTGCCACACTGTGCCGACTCATCTCATCGGAGTGAAATGTGTGAAAAAAGGGCTTCGATGTGGAAATGGACACAGCTTGTGTCGCGCTCGTGGTGCCAGACCTCTAATTTATTCAAACGATTTTGGTCTGGCTCGTGCTTCCTGGAATAAATGGCGTATGAAGTGGTGATGATAATGAGCCAACCAACTCGCAGGAAGAATATTGCGCATTTTATCTCGGTTTTGTGGCCGTAGAAGTCTGTTTCACAGACAATTAATGAGTCATGACCCTTCACACTTAAAAAATGGGGCTGGAGTCAGTCTTCCCCCTAATATATTTTTTTTTACTCTGCTAAATTAGGAGTTTTCTTGTTAGACTGCACTGCTTAAAATGATTATCAAATTGAATCCGGAGAATTTTTTGTATGTGTTTGAGATAGCAGCACTTATATCGTGAGAAGTATTTGTAAGCCAAGTTTTTGGTAAAGGACAAATGCAAAGGTGTAAAAAAACAACAACGACATTTTAAAACATAATTCAGTTGCGATCTTGTGAAAAACCAACGTGTAACCAGCCATGAACAGGTTATCTCTTATGCAATGATTCTGTTCGATTCATGAAGACATCGGAAGGAACCAGACACATCAAAGACTTCTAATTAAATACTTTGAGTTTTAAATCCAATAATTTTAACCATGTTTGCAATGAGAAAGGCGAAATATAAATTAAATAAAATAAATTTAAAAAGCCATAACCGTGCAAATATCCGGTATTTTGTTCTCTTATTATACGTTTGGACTTGTTTGTTAAGCTACTAATTTTTTGTAAGCTGTACTGAAGATGGGCTACCGCAACGCCCGAAAGATGTTTCTTGCTGTAATGTAAGTTTTTGTTAAGTACATTTATTTGCAAGGTTCCGGCTTTCATTCCAATTATTCCAGCTTAAATAAGTCCCAAAAATGTGATCGAAAGCACGACATTGGCTGTTTTCTTGAAAAGGCTAAAAGTGCATTCGTTTTTTTTTTCCCTACTACACTGGAAAAAAAACACATTGGATCTAGAGTCCAGACTCATAAAAACATCGACAAGAAAAACTACTCTTGATTCATCTGATTTAAGCTTAAATCAAGAACCAAGCCTCTTAATTTGAGCGGATTTCCTTTTGATTTAAGCTTAAATCTGATTGAATCAAGAGTCCTTTTTCTTGTAAATGTTTTCAAGAGTCTGGACTCTAGATCCAATGTGTTTTTTTTTCCAGTGTAGGTGCAATTCAGTCGTCCCCAGTACAAAAATAAACCGTTCCAAGTACTTTTGAGATGCTGCAATAAACTTACGTCCTCTCACTAAAAATCGCCTCAAACTTAGCAGTACTCAACGGCGCTTAGGGTGTTTTGAGTATCCTCCCTTCTAATAAACATTCACGCAGGTCGAACCGAATAAAAAAAGCCAACAAGACACGGATTCCGTAAGCGTGACGTCACCAAGAAAACTCGCAATTCCAATCGTTTGCCCGCGGTTGGTTCTTTGCATTGAGCAGATCGACTAAAAGTGATAACAACCACTCACCCCGGGAGTAAATACTCGACCGCGGGCGAAAAGGTCCCGGTCCGGTTGGCGCAAGCTAAACAAGACCGTAAAACAGAGCGAAATCCCCGACTAAATAAACACTCGCCGAATCGTTTAAGTGGTGATCAGCTTTCGACGATCGTTCGGGGTTCCATTCAAACGGGGTGGTTTCCGAGTGGCGTGAAGGTGCGGCGGCATTTTTCCGGGGAGGGTGG